ATTCGCGTTGAATTAATGAATAATTGGAGAAAGTTACTTCATGATAAACTTTGTAATTTCTACTCACATTTTTCCAACTATTATGACCAAGAATTTAGATCTGTTAACATTTAAAATGACGTTCTCAAACATTTCCTTTGGATATTTAGTAGGCCATCTAGACATGAGATTAGCCCAACACAAGGTCACTTAATACATAATACATCGAGTTGTATTCGAACCCTAGAACCCAGCGTTAAAGTGGTTAAAGTTTTTGAGGGTAGGACCAGTGAACTAGGCTATAAGATTGACTACCCACACAGGTAAAAGTATCTTGTAAGTACTTCTGGTAATCTGAGAAATGGCGACATCGGATTAAAAGAGTTCGCTGTACGTAAATGATTTAAAAATTGTGTGGCCTTTTAATCATTATATTTGTTGCATATAGAGATGTGGTAAGGTAGCTACAGTCTGCTGATATAGCGACGTTCGCTGTTGTAGATGGGTAACCTGGACGTAAAAATCCCACCTGACATCTTGGATGACGAGTCCCCGGACGGAGGTGTGGCACCTGAGAACAGTTCAGTGCGATTGAAATGCAAAGCGACCGGTACTCCTGAGCCTACTGTGATGTGGCGACGAGAGGACAGCAGAAACATCGTGCTACGTCACGACGGCGGAAGGGAAAAGCAGGGTGAGACACGCACACACAGACGAGACTAGTAAAAATGTAATCAGAATAGTCCGCCTTCTTTATTAGTTCACAGCGGGTCAAACAATTATCTAAAATTTAAGGATCTCACAGCGACCCATATGAAGATGGTTGTCTTGTAGGTTGACGAAATTTACATATGTTTCTAAAGTGCTTACAGCTTCCATCAACAGGGCGATTTTGTAGGCACTAACCACTTCTGAAACGTTAGTCAGTTTCTACGAGACTATATACAGTGCAGCCACTCAGAAAACAGGCATGTAAAAATATTTTTTTTAAATAAATTATAATTAGATGGGTAAGATGAATAGCACGCATGGGAAAATGATAAATGCATGTAAAATTTTAGTCGAAAACTCTGAACGTGTAACACGACTTGGGATTTAATGTGTGGGAATGTGGAGTGGATTTATCTGGCTTAGGATAGGGTTCTGTGGTGGACTTTTGTGAATTCGGTAATGAACATGTAAGTTCTAGTGAAAGACACAAAACGTCTTGACCACGTAGTGACTATTACCGTCTCAAGAATAATTGTATCCTGTACGGAATTTTATAGTTGATTGAAGAATGTATTAACTTTAATTACGTTTATTGTAAGGTCGCGAATATCAGATCTAAATTTATAAAATCTCCCCCAAAAAATTTCTGATTTTACACAGAGTTGGTACCTGAGATCTATTGATAGTACGTAATATTTATTTTAAATATTTTTTTCCAATTGTTTTTATGTAATGAAATTCTATGTGAATATAAATGATCCTGTGCATTTTAATATTTTCTATGATTTATTAGTTTCCCCATGTCTATAATTATTAGTTCTACGCGTTTTAAAACATCTACTATTAGTTAGGTTTGCCACTAACTCTTTTTTATCTGTCATGCAATAATTCAAGGAATAGATTTTAAAAATTTGTTTAGGCATATTTTACGTTCCAGTTTTTATGAAATTTGTCTATAGAAGATAAAAGTCTTTATTTTTCTGCCCGTATATACACAGTCATAGTCATTTATTTTCTGTTCTGAATAGGTCATAATAATTGACATCTCCACAAAGCTGAACCCAATATACGTTACGTGGATGTATTCCGACATACTTACAATTGTCCTTTGGTCTTCTTATACTCTTTATGAACGAATATCCACAGGCTTTCATCTCTTACGTCATAGAATAAATTGACCAAAACACACAAAGTAAACATATTCCATCAATACTGAAATATTGGTTTCTCTTTGTGGTATGGAACAGTAGTTTTCTTTTGATTTCCTTCTATTTGAAGGTGAAGTTGAGTGTCGATTATCCGTGCTGATTGAGGGAAGCAGTGGCCAGGATAATAGAAAAACTTTATTAATTAGAATTGTATTTTATTATTATCCATATAAGAAAAACGTATACTCATATTTCTGCATAGAAACATACGTAACATATATGAAAATACTAAACATTATTTCTTAAAGTAATTTTATCAGAAATTCCTTGATTTTTGTTTAACTTTCTGTTGGCCTGTTCTGTTTCTTTGCGCGTGCGCGCGAATTTGTAAAATATCGGCAAAATTAACGTAATTTTGTTTTTCTACGAAACAAAGCAATGTCGCAGCAGCTGGAGACATAACGCGTTAAGAGTAGTTAACAAATATATAATTACATATAGAGACAAAATGGAACCCATATAATCGGCACATTACTGGAGATGTTTAACTTAAGATATTATATATATCCCATGTTTTGTCTTTTGTTTAAACATTTCAACCTGTCGCATTTTTAACATTTGTTATTTTGTTTCTGATATGGTTAACGACTCTGTGTTACGTTACCCAAGAATTCATAAAAGTAATGTTAGCTGTGTCATAAAATTTTGTGTAAAATTTATGGAAGATGCCCTTTTCTGTGACAGCATCGCTCTTGTTTCTTAAAAAAAATTTGCAAACTAATTGCATTTTTTCTTCTTTAGTTCTTATCTAAGAGAGTTATTATATCAGCCCAGGAAGGTGGAAGCACACCCAGGAATGCTAGCTTAGTTACCGTGTACTCTTTTATTTTATCTTACGAATAAAATGCTGGAGATAAAAGTTAAAAATAAAATATTATAACATATTGGTCTAGATTTTATAAAATGTACGTCTTTTATCCGATAACACAATAAGTGGTTCCTCTACTTGAGTGAAAGCAAATTAGGCTACATGAATATTCATAACTACGATCAAGATGGCGCGCACAAAACAACGGAAGACTGCATGGATGACGTAGTCTGTGATTAAGGGACGTAGAGTTGCATACGTTCTGGGGGTCCACGCATCCTGAGACACTTTGTCTGTCTTCTAGGATCTGCTCTTGATGCATACAAGAATAACTCCCTTGAACATCTTCTGAATATTAATGGCGTATAAGACGCAAAGAGGTAGGGGGTTAGAAGGAAATTGAAAAGCGGTCATAAACTTTCTCTGTAGTTGTGTTTTCGGAATGAGTTGGGTTGAGAAGGGAACGCTGGCCCAGGGGAAGTAACTGAAGAGGGGGAGGGGAAGTCTTACCCACTTTTGCGGTGCGCAGTGTTCAGCGTCCCGAAAAGTATAAGCCTCCTCGGTTTCCGTCAGTTTTTTCTACTTAGTTTAACTTTGTAAGGCTTAAAGACGAATATTATTATTATTATTATTATTATTATTATTATTATTCATGTGGTAATATCCCCCCCAAGTTCTCTTTTTCGCTTGAGATAGCAAAATATTTCTCAACATGTTTCAAGGACGACCGCATACATCAATATTTTCTCACGCCAGTTACTACCTTCTATTCAGAATAATCCTTTTGTTTCACTTTAACTTATACCGGTCCTGTACTCCTTTGAATTTTCATTTCATTAGGATACAGTCGAATGGTTCTGTGGGTACAGTACTGAGCGGGCTGGTTTAACAGAAAATTTCTAACTTTTTCGGGACATTTTCTTTTTCTCGCAATGAAAACTTTTATCAATTGTTAAGAAACTTTGAATCCGATGTCTTTGTGCAGTTTCTAAAACGACGAAATAACGTAACGTTTTCGAGCGTCGGTAAATAATTCTTTCAAGGTGGCACACTCATGTATTCATTTAAAAAAGCTTACGTTAATGATGCGATAGTCAGGGCAGATTACACATCGTTCGAGCTCGACTCTAGTGGAGTGCGGGTAAAAAATTTGGAGATAAACTTCGGCCTTGGGCTGAATAAGGTCAAAAGGTCCTAAGGCCGAGCCGGGTAAAAATCTAAAAATGTCTTTCCGTACAGACCCCTAACTACAGGTCCATATAAGAGGTGTCGGCCAGGACTACTCAACTATTAGTGTCTAAAATTATTCGGCTAAAGTGGTTGAGGTTTACGTTATTTTCCTCAGTTGTAATACAACTGTTAAATCGGGACACACGGCGACTACGGAAGTCTGTGTTTGACTCTCCGTAAAATAGTCATCGACTTGTGAACTATAGTTTTTGTGGGCAAAAATCATAAATATTCACACAAGAAGACGACTGTATCCTGAGATGATACGCCGTATAGTCTGGTCAAAGTTTAACGACTTTAAGTGTTACATACTGCCTCCATCATCAGGGCGATGAGTGTCCTAATGACAAAGGCGGGAAACACCTCTGAAACGTCGGTAAGTTTATACTACAAACACAGAATCTCAGAATACATCAGTTTTTTAGTCGTCACTGTAAAACCTAATATTTTGATAAAAAAAATTTACGTATTAATTTTTTTAGATTTTACTTGAATTAAGTACTGTATGAATCTGTTATATATTAAAAATTGTGTACATAAATAGAGCATTAAATTCTGTAGTTATTTATTTATATTTCTTTCTGACCTTAAAGCATAATTTTAAGCTACGAATTTCCGAGAATTTCTTGATATATTCCGTCAAAGGCCAGTGGCTTGGAAACACGTCTTGCAGAACAGTTCCGTTTATTTCCACACAGCCATTTGGCTTGGTGCGAATATGCACTATGATTACATTTATCTACAGAAAATGATTGGAAGTTTAGTCAAGTTATAGGCTATACGTAGTGACGACGGACTCAGCTCGAATAATGTTAAAAGAGGAAGTGTTACGGGATGAATGGATAAATAAAAATTCTTAAACTTGAAGGAGTACAGATATTTGATTCAGGATATCTTCCACATAAGAATCCGTGTGGGGTATCTTGACTCTCTCACTATCAGAAACACTCGAGAATGAGCAGGGGGTGGTAAGGGGTATTATCCCTACCAAGAAAGTCTGCGTGCTACCACTGAGCTTCACTTTAACAAGATGCGGCGAGAGAAGACGAAGAAGGCTCTTAAAGGGGAGTAAGGAAATATCCGATACCGAAGTGAATATTGGGAATAAGAAGATAAACTTCCCACTGCCTCCTCAGTAAAGTTGCCCTCTTGCTGGTAGTTCTCCTATAGTCAAGCATCCACCTCGGTAAATCGATACCAGACGGAAAAATAAAGACTTTATTTACGTATACGGATTTAGTTTGGACAGAATCGCATGGTTCTATCGACCTATCTTTTTTCTTCTTTTCTTTTCTTTTATTGTTCTCCTTTTCATTTCTATACTCGTCTCTTTTACTCCCTTCTTTAACCGTTTCATTTACCACTGTAAGCCATCTGTCTTTTAGATGTGATCGATGTTTTACCCCCAAGACGTACTTCGAGCTTATACTAATGTACTCTTTCTCAGGACCTCTTTCTTTTCGTAAGTTGTATTTAAATAAGTATACTCAAGTAGGAGCGTTACTCGTTCTGATAGAAAGTTTCTATTCGATGTCGTCGTCATTCATCTCTCTCTCTCTATTTTATCGTGTGAACAAATTTTTATTGCCGTCGGACACAAGAAATCTCTGTGATATAAACGTAAACCAACTTCATCGCCTTCAGAAACTCAAATCAGAGATACTAAACCACGTACTGTCCCTGAAGGATTTGATGTAGTCAGAGAGTCAGAATCGTAAAGAAGCTTATACATTTGGGAATCGGTTTACCCATTTCACAAATTCGTATTTTATAATATCTATATTTGCGCATCAATTCTGAGAACATGGTAATTTAATGGAACCAATATTCCTTCCAAAGTTACAAATATTTGCATTGCATAAATTTAATACATTTCTCAAGATAAGTCATAAAGTTACCTCTGAAATACCTTCAAACAAGTGAAATCCCATGAAATTCACAACTGCACACATTTTATGTTTGTATAATATCTGTTTAAAGCTTCGTGAAGGACATAATTGCGATTTAAAAACTTGTTTCTACTTATCGCTAGAGATTTGATAGTTTGTTAGTTCTTTGATCTTTAAGCACGTGCGTCTATGCATGGAGACCCTCCGTAAATAAACAGATTCAGTTCGCACGTTCATAAACGTACCGTGGATTAGTATGTAAATCAGTTTACATCTATAGCAAGGTGAACTTATCTTAGCTTACAGGAAAAATGGCACTCATAATTATGATTTGGACAAATAGGCTACCGGCATGGTCTTGTACTTATGTTTATTCATATATTAAGCAATTTTCATATTGAGTATTCCGTCTAAAAAATACGATTAACAGCTGTTTTAATAAAGTTAAGTTAAGTATTTTTTAAATGTTATTTCAAACGGACAGACTAATACATTGAAAATAACAGGATTTTTCGTTGTTTTAGCTGTCCTTTATATTTTAATTTTGCTCCAGAACATACACAAAAGTGAAGACTTTATAAAATATATAAATTATACTTTCTGGTATAAAATATTTTATAATTTAAGCCTAGTGTTTCAATTTGTTTTGTTAGATCTTATAATGAGAGACTCTCTGCTTTCTGAATATTAACCTTTCAAAGTCCAGTGGGACGTATATGAACAACGCGCTTTAAAAAAAATTAGTAAAGCTTTATTTCGCATTTATGTGTTTTGTGTGATTCTCACTGTAAACATGGATTATTTTCGTAAACATCGTTTATCTTTGTGTTGGTGAAGTTTTGTGTTTACTTTGCAGTAAGGACTGGATTATTAAATATTATTTATGTGATATTCGTCTTCAAATGGCTGAGGTAAAGAACCAATTATTATTTTGAAGAAGAAACGATTTTTTGTAGCTACATTACTATTAAAAAAAATATTTTTTATTATTTCTTGTTCTTTAATTTTATATTTCTGAAGTCTTAACCTCGCCACAGCAAAGCCAAATATATAAAGGGGTGTATGTAACATCTTAATCCCAGGGTGGAAAGCCACTGTGTATCCAGCCAGCAGCTGCCAATATCAGTAGCCACCCCTGCCATCAGTCTTCCTTGTTCTCTTGGTCTGGAGTTTAGGTCGTGCGCCCGGGGTCCAGCCACAACATTTGTCTTGCTTTCTTCCGGTCCGTCGGATCCACTGGCCGCCATGCGAAATCCTCGTCTCTCTTTCGCCCGGCCGGTTACGTTTCGTTACTAACTTCTGGTTACAGCCCTCAGCATCTACACACACCTCTTCCCGCTCGCTCTCTCTCTCTCTCTCTCTCTCTCTCTCTCTCTCTCTCACGCCTCAACTTTCACCGGAAACGTCCGACCGGAGCGTAATGCAGTTACAAAGATTAAACATTACAGATACCAGGCAAGTTAACACAGCGGTAACACGGCAGATGTGTATTCAGAAGTAACCGGATCTGCTGTCAACCATATCACCGATTATCCGCAGTGGTATTTTTTGTGGTTTTCCTCAGCCGCTCCAATTAAAACCCGGGATATCAACTTGATAATGTAATGAGCGCCACCACTTCCAAATAATTACCTACTCAGTACTCATGGTCTATATATTCTCATTGGATGCTGTATAAAATGTGTTGAAATAGCGTCGTTAAACAGCACAGGAAACAAACAGTATTATGGTAGAAAAGGTAACGTTAATATCTGTGCTTAAACATCAATCTATGGAAGAGTTTACGGGAGTAGTTGCAAATATGCATCCATTCTACACCTTTTGTCGCTACAAGAAAATATCCCCGGGTACCAGTTGGATACTATTTTGGAAAGTCACCATTGATGATAAAAGTTTAGACTCAAAACAGATCTAGTAGAATATTACTCAGTAGAAGTTGGATTTTAGATTCGTTAACTTCATTTTCATAGTTTCGTACTTACACATTTCTTTTTTCCCGCTACCACTTAGGAATACGTTTACACTGACGATGATGTTATTCTGGATTGTAACGCCGTGCAGATTCCTAGCTATAAACCGACGTTTCGGAGAAAATCTCCATCTTCAACACTACGGCACAACCCAGAAGACCCTCAAAATCTAACATTTACACTGACCTTCAAATCTTTATATTTTTAACTGGTCAATGTTTCCATCCCTTAATATTCCAAAATCAATTCATCCTCTGCAAATACTGTATATAAAACACTGTTTATGTTTGTATTTAACGTTTTAATTAAAACATAATTTAATTTTTGGTGTTACTTTGATGATATCTGTTAAGTACCATACCCAGCTAGTCCACAAAGACATTTCACTTTTACTGCGTTAATTACAAAAGGATTTGAGGTCCTCGCAGCTGTGAATATTTTGATGTTGTTCTTCTGGTTTTGACGCCGTATAGACTCGTAGATATATATAATACATCTATCTTTAGCCTTGAAGATGAAGGCATTATTTTTTTTCGAAACGCTGGTATCTACATATGAGTTCACATTACGTCACAACCGAGGACAACATCGATTTTATGTAACTGAAAGAAAGTAACAAGTATTAATAGTGTAACAACCTTAATGATATCGTGAACTTATTTTCTGACAGCGGTGAGATCATTTGACGGAGAGACGCTGTTACTGAACAACATCCAGAGGACGGACATGGGAGCCTATCTCTGCATAGCAAACAATGGCATCCCACCACCTGTCAGCAAACGCTTCGTAGTTCAAGTTCAGTGTGAGTGAGCCATCATAATTAATATGGGGGAACTCGTATATCCACTGTAAACAAACACAAGGGGAAAAAATTTAATCAAATTTGTCGTAATTCAGCGTCTGTAGATGGTTGTGAGTTGTATAATTACATTATTTTGTACCAGACTGTTTGTGTGATTTATTTATGAATGAAATGTTGACTGACTATTACTTTGGCAAATATTATTTGCCGAGGATGGCAAACCCAAAATCCCAGTGCGGTCACCCAGAAGGGTTTTATAAACACTCGCGTTTTATTTTGAGTAAAATCACACTTCATCAATAAATCGTGAATTATTTAGACGATGTCCTCAACATAAATGCATTATTTCAACGTTTTGTATTCTTTATACGCGTGTATTGAAATCTGGCATTGTTTAACTAACACGTTAAAATTTGTATGAGCCAATTCATATTGACCCAGAGTGATCCCATGTAAGACCTACTTTGTGTGGCTCAAACTAAAATTTATCCAGTCCTCAAAAACACCTCCACCTTCAAAATAAGTAGATCCAACAAACACCCAAATAATTTTATAGTTAACACAGATTCGCTTCCGTAATTTGTAAGAGGTCGATTCATTTTACGAAAACTTTATTAAATCTGCGTAATTGTATTTTCAATTTCTAAATATCCTTTGTTCCCAAACACTCGACCAAACATAATTCTTGGCCCTTAAGGCATTCTAACGCCTCAAATGCTTAAATTCTTGAAACAATATAATTTCCACAGTCATACGAGATCATTGGTGTGTTGTTCCCGCTAGCAATTAGCTGCAGTGTATTCTGTAATCTTATTAGTACTTCATAACGATCTAATAATTATCTCTTGAGTGGCCAATTAGATAAAGTTAAAACAAGTCTCTACCCTAATGAGTTAGGGAAGATAATTGAATTTGTTTTACCAGTATGGCTCCTGTAGCGTTAAATGCTACGTTTTCCGTGACGAGACTGTGGTTTTCATAGAAAACTACTTCTTTCGAGTAAGGTTTTTAAATTATTTTTATCGCATAATCCTTTTTGCTGTGAAAAATAATAGTTTTTGGACCCTTATTTTTATTCCTTTCGCTGTTTCTTTTCTGCTTGTTAGTTTCTTGTTATTCCCCATTCTTTCCTGTGCTTTATTGCCTTTTCTCCAGATATTTTTCCACAATTAATTTTAATAAAGCCACAACTATATTTAATTCAAAGTTAATAAATATACATTAATTACGTATTATGTAACATACAAATTATTTGTACGATTTCTGTTAATTTCGTATAAAACTGGCACACTTTTGTTTGGGTCACTGGAAAGTAATAGTTACATTAGACCTAACTAAATACAATCCACTTTATAGGACATATTTTTATGTAGACCACAAATGTCAAATATAATAGATACTCGTTCGTTAACTTCTGATATAAAACACGCGAAAATACATATTGTCAAAAATGATCTCTCCTATATGCGTTAATTTAATGTGTTTTACGGGAAAAAACAACACGAAATGACGAACAAATTGATGTATAAAGTTTAACATTCTGGTTTTTAGTATGATACCGTAATAGTAATGCTTACATTTGATATATACATTTCCTTTGACACTCTTATGACGACACACGGAAGCTGAAAGCCAGGTAAAAGTGTTCAGCGGGTTTGTTTCTGATTTGTGAAAGACATCTATTTTGTTCGTAAAAAATACACTTAAGAAAAACAAAAATTTTGAATCGCACTTTGTTTTAAATCTTCCGTTAATTCGCTAAACAGAAAATCTAATAATAAAACAAATAAACTAATGAGGACATTTGTTCGCTCGATTTTATGATTTGTCCATTTTAGGTTTTTATAACTCTGCCAATCAGCAGCAAAGATTAGGATGTGTTTTGAGGTCTTGTGGCTTATGATGCCGTAACATTTTCTAGGTTATTACCAACATTTTTAGGAACGTGCTGCCTACATCTTAGGGTAGAAATAGACAAAGGCCATACGTCCCTCTTCTAAAACGTCGATAACCACTTACACGGCATCATATCCAAGAAGTCCACAAGCTACGGCTTCAGAGTCGTGAAGAATGTAATCTAAAAAATAGAATTTTGCCAGTATTTTAAATCTTTAAACAATTTTACTTTTGACAGACTTAAAAAAATTATTCATGGATTACCATTATGTTCTACATACAGACAATAAAAACGCTATAATATATAGAAATCTAGCTGTTTTTTGTTAAAATTTTAGAATCTGTTCATTCGGTTGCTAGGTAACGCAGATGCCATCTGCAGGCTGTATTATAGTGAATGGCCGATAGATGGAATCTTCACTCTCGTGAGAAGCGCAAATTTCATGTGATATATGTGATTAGTTTACTTGAAAGTAAAAGTGGAGTTTATAAATGCAAATCTAAGATAATTAAACATCTGGGAATACCTTATGGAACACATGGGTTTGGCGAAACACATTGTGCAGATCAGTGTTGTAGAAGATTAATTTTTATGTTTCCTACGACTAGAATGTAGTTTGTAATAGAGTATTTATAATTAATGTATTTAAATAAGGTGTTCTTTTTTACCTGTAACGAGAAATCCTATTTGTAAAATGAAAGGAATATATAATATATTTATGTTAATCGTTACGTTATCCTTACAATGTTTTAAAGTTATCAGAACAATGTTACGTAAGTAAACGAATAGGGTTCTGGGAATTTTTCAAAGCTCATTTCTACTTAGTATCTGCTGATAATAAGCTTACACATACACAACGTCTTCTTAATTACATAAGCGGTCTACTTTATTACAGAAAGACTCATTTAATATGCTGTATGTTGACGTAAATGCGGCTGACTTAAACGAACAGAGTAGGTTGTCAAGACTGTAACACTTGCAAACTTTTCGTAGGAGGTCCTGAACGTAAATTTGAATTACAGTTGAATCAGTGGGTTGGTCAGTCTTTCGGTAATTCAAACAGCTAGTCATATTGGTTCGGTATTCGTTTCGTACGGAGTCAGTCAACAGAAGATACCGCTCTGTTCGAACCGCCATTCGGTTGCAATCTACCTGACCTACGTGTGGGGTTCTCGTGTTACAGTTCACCCGTTGATTAAAGTCCCTAATCAGCTCGTTGCCGCGCCAGTCGGAAGCAATGTGGACATCGGATGTGACGTGGAGGCGTCCCCGAAAGCAATGAATAGTTGGTTTAAAGAAACAGGTAAGAATTGTAATTAGAAACAGAATGTCCTCTTCCTTTCCCGTCATATAGGAGTTAAGATTTGGTGGATAGTAGCCAGAAACAGGGATGAGTGGAAATAAATTCTTTTGGAAAGCCGTGGCCCACTTCGGCTGTAGAGCTAATGATGATGATGTGTTAATGATTTTTATTGTAAACATCGATTATTTCCTTAAACAGCGTCAACTTGTTTATACTTGTAATTGTGAATAGTTGTGTTTTCTTTGAGGTACGGACTGGATTCTTAAATATTGGGACCAGCATCGAGTTTAAAAGGTTAATACTAGTATTTATGTTGGTTAATGCAAATAGTGAACTACCATGGTTCATATGGCAGACTCAGAGAGAAATGGGGATTATAATTACATTCTTCTCGAAATATTTTTAAGAAAAGACAATTAAAAAGGGTGGAATTGGTGAATATATTGGAAACTCGTAAAATATTTTATTCGAAAGATCTGAATGGAGACGGGTATAGTTGAATCATCAAATTAAGATTTATTTTGAGCAGTGTGTGTGTGGACTGGCCTCGCCTAAATTAGGATAGGATTTATCGGTGGCCTCTTGTGTATATGGTAAGAACCCTTCGATTTATATAAAAGACAAACTATTTATTGTCCAGCTGAGTGACTACAAAATTCTCAAGAACAACTATGGCACATTAACAAGAATATTAATTATTTGACGTATTATCGTTATATAGATGGTTTGTTCGGTTGTATGCAGTGGAAAGTAGTAGCTAAGGCGACTTAACTTCACGCTCAGACTTCCCGTAAAGAGCTTTACGCTGTTGTAAAAGGAAGCATGTAGTGTCTGATCTTCCTAGTGTCCTCATTGCTTTAAGCTAATCACTTTACCAGCATCATTAATCTTCATTAATCATTCACGACCGCACAACGATAAAAACTCGGCGATATTTTTACGGTCCATTGGTCTCAGCATAAATCGAATAAAAGTGTTAATGTTTTATTACGGTATTTTTTAATCAATTGTATCAGTAGCATGGAGCACCGAAAATAATGATGGGGAAATTTCGTGAATTTCCTCAGTATTTCGAGACGAATATCGGAGTAGCACGTTTAAATATTCCATGGCCACTTCCTCCATGGATATTTTTAATTTATTTAATGAGATCATTCTCTTATTTTATGTGATTAAGTAAATGTTGCAGTTAATACAGCATTGCTAAAAAGTCCGTGCAGTTGCTGTCTCCATCATCAGGGCGATGATGGAGGCAGCAAGGACCTCTGAAACGTCGGTAAACTTATACCAGATTACACAGCACAACAACCCAGAAGACAGAAATCTTCAAACACAAACATTGTAGAAGTTAGATTAAATCTAAACGCGTTAATAAAGCCAATCAACAGTTCATACAATTTGCGTAAAGTCGAAGTTTTCCTGTAAATAGACATTTTAGAGCTGTAACTTTCGGTTTCAATTAGTGTAAAATTCTGTCATATTTCTTTTGAGTTTTACTTATAAATGGATACGAATGTTTTGGGTTAAAGAGCGAACTAAACGTCACTAGTGAAGATGTGAACTTCACCAGTAAAATTCACTTAGAGACAATCTCTGTTTCGTCAGAAATCCTTTGTTAAAAAAAAAGGACTTTAAAAGAGCTATCAGTTCTAATTACTTTCATCACTCATTTCCAATTACCTATATAACCATTAATTTCCCTATACACTTATTAAAAATTTCTCTCCTCAGCATGAATCGTTAAACCATAACCATTTTGAGGTACTGAACTGTGATCTGTGGATAGAAGCCATTTTTCAGGCCAGTTTCCGATGGTGAAATCGATATGGCTCTCGTAACCGGATGACAAGGGTTGAGCACCATAAGTGACCTCATTACCTCTGACTGTACGCCATGCACTTCGGCTGCTATGGTGGTCACTGCTGAACAAGCTCGCGACCCATCAATATACCGGGACTACTATCGGAAATCGAACCCCCCCCACCCATTACACCCTACCACCGATAATTTGAAGGCAGTATTTCTACTCAGAAATCCGTCGCTGTGCTGTTGCTTTGTTTCATAAATTAGTAGTTGATACGAATCACTTGTAAGGCAACATACTGGATAAGAGATAAAATGACCTTGAATATCATTATTTTCAACTATCAGCTTTCCAGAAAAGTTTGATTCTGTCTTGAGTCACTTGAATCACGTTTTGCCTTAATATTTATTTCTAAAACATCCGTTTTAATATTATATTACTTCCTATGCCTTTTCTTTAGGTTTCTTAGACTGGATTTTAAATATACTTTTATTTCAGCGTTATGGTACGTGTTTATCCATCTCATCCTACTTTATTAATAATATTAGACGAAGAAATCGTGAATCTTTATTTTACGTCATTTCTGCAATCTTTCTGTAACTTTTGACTTTTTTCTGTACGACAAAATTTTCGACACATTGGTTGTCTATATAATTCAATTAAGGAAATGCAAGTTTATTTTAATACCAATGTTAATGTCCGAGTTGTTTTCCCACCAATACCTTTCAAAATAATTATTTTCTTAAAATTTCGTATTATCATTTTGACACAAGAGAAAATATTAGTTTCTATATTTTAATTTTTATCTATCTACGGGTTCGTGAAAACAGCTGAGTATAGAGTGACAAAAAACCTACACTTTAAAATAGGTCATGGCTATTTTTTTAAATATTATTTACTCGTGTTCATTATTCATGATCTTGCTATCTAATTTGACACTATGTAACTACTGCAATTGAAGCAGTGTCATTAAACAACGTAAAAATCAACAATTTTCTTTGGACAGAGAAGGATATGATAGATTTGAGTTTAGGCAATAAAACAAGTTACTCTGATTGGGAAAGTGTACGAAGTGTCTAGAAATAAACAGCCTTTATAACAGCGCTAGCCCAGATTGGTCGTAAAATTTCGCCATTTTGTTCGTTTCTGCAGTTCATATAATATATAGTGATGATTTTATCAAGCCAAGATCATAGTACGTTTATGATTTTTGTATTCAGTTGTGCATTATGCTGTGGTATAAGAAGCCCGTTGAAATTTGACGGGTATTGAGTATTTACAGTGTTCTCATCCCTTTGACGTCTTTGGTCGAAATCGATTATGTATCTTGCGTTTCAACTTTTTCTTCGAAACATATTTAAGAAGCCACTCACAGACACGACCCTGATGATATTCGAACCTGTCATTGTACTAATGAAGAAACTTCCGAAATCAATTACTAATTCATATTTCGTCTTTAACATTTTATTAATTTTCATTGGCTTATAAAGAGAAACAGTTTAATAGTTGGCCTCGGCGAATAAGCGTAAACCACTAACAAAATAAGCATTCAGACTGTTTTTGCTTCAAGTTAATAAATATTATTCATTTGAGTAAGTCCGTCGTGATATGATTGCTTTGATCTTTGTGTTGCGTTTATTACAAAGGAAGCCATAAACATGGTTGAAATTGTTCCAACATTCTGTTCAGTTATGTTGTTCTTATTCAGACAGAGATGGAACTATACGTGTTAATTATTTCTGTGAAGGCAATTTACTTGGTAGACAAGCTTCTGATTGTGAAAGGGACGATTGTAATGGGTTTTATTTATTTTCCACATATTTGTGATATTAAATAAAAAACAGCGAAGTCCTTATTCGAGCAGTAGGGGATACAACAATATTTTTCTTTCGTGTTATAGAGGTAGTTTATATAAAAATTGCATGAAGTTAAAGTTATTTGTATGGTTTCATTAATATTTGTATGCAATTAATTGAATCCCAAAGAAATTTAAAAATAATCGACTGCGGATTGAAACTGACCACTCGTAATGCCATCGATTATACTGCTTGTATCGTCAAGTACTGACGATGAAGACAGCGTGTTTCCCAGAAACGTTGGCACAAAGACATAATACCAAAGGGTACAACAGTCGATGTAACAATCGATATTGATATCGACGTTAAAAGCTCAGAGCCTACTCGTAAAAACTTAGGTTAAGTAGGGTCATGTGAATATAATTTATAGCTGATTAAAAAGTTCAAACGTGTTTGTTAGAAGGCAGACGAAAAATAAGGTCTCATTTGAAGTGTAGTATCTGATTCTGAAACTCTCTTCCTTTATTTTTTAAAAAAAAACAATTTGCATGTATCTGAAGACAATTAAGATTTGAGGATCTTACTGCTGAATTTTAAAGATGGCTGGCTGTCTTCTGGGTATTTTGCACAGTGTAGTCTAATAGTTTATTTACATTTCGAAGGTGCACACTGCCTCCATCATCAGAATTATCAGTTGTGAAGCAAAAACACGTGTTTGTAGTACTACCTCTCTCCTTTGATGCTATTGATTTAAACTTCGAGAAGTTTCTTTTTATAAAGTTCGTAGTAGTGAATATTTTTTTCTCTCTTGTAACTAAACGTAATGTTGTATAATAGGAGAGTTGGTGTTGGGTTACAATGGACAAGTTGGTTCTCTGCTCTCTCTCTCTTGTGGCCGCAGTAACGTTACTGCGTGGGTGCTCAGTCATGAAGATTCACTGTACCAACCCGTGAAGCCTTTGGTGCTTTGGGGTGCACCTATATGTTGAGAAAGTAGAGGGGTCTCTGAAACACAATGTAATCCCGGTCTAGATAAATGCGGGAAGCGATAAATAACGCGTGGATATTGGATGCAAGTCTCAAAAAGTGTTTACCTACCTCCATTTTATGTGAGAATATTGTTTGCTTTCCTTTCAGCGTGTGTTTCGGGACCATCATAAATGACACAGGAAAAAAAACAGGTGACTGTCATTATACGCGAGGGTTATATTCCTGTGAAATGCTGCATACATCAAAAACACGTAAAACCGAAACTTACAAAGGCCCCGTGAATTTTCTGAGTGCAAAGACACATAATCAAATTGCATGTCTTACCACTTTTTGAAGCTCGGTAGATAAACAATAATTTGTTCTGCTGTCTGTAATAAATTAAAAGAATCGCCTTGATGATGGAGACAGAAAACTCCTCCGAAACGTTTGTTAATACCTACCAGACAATACTGTACTACTTTCTATACAACAGCCATCTTTATTAATCGTCGCTGTGAGGACTTCGGTATACACTTATGATTATTTGTCGTAAATATTTACGGTTATTTGGTATTTACTGAAAAGAAACAGCACAAGTAGTTACTAATTCGTCTTAATGTTATTAAAATTAAGCATTATTATTATTACTTTATATTTTGCCTTCTTTCTAAATACTGATGATTAATTGGTGATTCGAGACCAGTGGAAATCCCCTCCTATAAGTATTTTAGCCTTTGCGAGGTTTTCTGAGCGTTTCTTGAGTGCTACAGTTTAAAACCGCATAAAATAATACATTTACAATGTATTGTTTCTCAATAACTTCATTAAAACAACATAACTTATCTATAATCCATTGAATGACGTAACAACTACAGTGGACTAACTAGGGGTTTTGTGAAACTGCTGTTTAGTGACATTTCACAGAGGAAAGTTGTCAGTACCGTACGTCAGAGGCATGGCGATGTAAATCCTCTGTAAATCCCTGGCATGACTGCTAGACTGTGAGCTTTACAGGGTCCGGGTCACACCTGTTCAGAAGCCTCTGGTAAGCCGTAGACCTTAATGGACGTTCACGTCTGGGCCTGAGGGCCAGAACATAACACTGGCCGGCTATAAGCAGGCGCTGCAAGGTGACTCCGTAGGGTACAGTCAGACTGTGGTCTCCTGATCACATATGCGTAAAGGCGAACTGTCCACTGAGAAAATTAGCGCTGTAATACAGCAGCAACTAAGTTATATTCTGAGGGTCCCTCGATTAAACCCAAAAACTAACTGTCCTAAACTACTCTTTTTAAACGATATCCTTTCTGAGAAGCTGATAGTAGCACAGTCGCCCGCTCAGTTTTCTGTTGTTTATCGATCGCGAATTTTCATTGTCCTTTTCGCAAGCGTCCGAAATCGGTCCCTATCCAGAGCCAGACGAATCCAATCTACATCCTCTAACCGTATCTTTATAACATCCATTTAATATTATCCTTCTATCTACGTAATAGATGTTCCGAGTAATCTCTTCCCTGTAGGCTTTCCAACCAAAATGTTATACGAATTTCTGATCTATCCAATGTGCGCTCGGCTAACCTCGCATTTTGTTTCCTTCATTTGATCATTCTAATGATATTTGCTAAAAATTAAAATTATTAATACTAGAGCCGCCTTTGTACACGAACCTGAATCAATTCCACCCACTCGTCATTTTCAAAATGTATCCCTAACCTCAAATTTAATATTTCCTCCCATCTTCTCGGTTCAATAAACATACAAAGATGTAGTGTTTGTGAAGAAACTGGTTTTTTTCCTTAGAGATCTTAACCAGGGCCAGATTTAAAGGGAGCCTCTACAAAACAGGGGCCTCCATAAAATCCAAAGCCAAAAATTGCCAATACGAAACAAACTTCTTTTAAGGCGAGAAGCGTCCAGGTAATCATCGCCATAAATCGATCACGTGATACTTATTAATACTTAATTATTGCTTATTTATAAGTAACTGCAATATAACGTAATTTATTGTTACTGATAGGGATCACCACGACTGAAAATCCGGCCCTGATCCTAACAGTTGCTGATGTTTAAAACGCGATGTTTCGTTATTTCCAGGCGAGAAGTTGCTGGGAAGCAAGAAATACGAGATATCAGAAGTGCCGATCAACGAGTATTCGCTGCATATGAATCTCAAGGTTCTAAACGTGCAGAAACATGATTTTGGGGGCTATCTGTGTTCCTCTGTGAACGCACTGGGCAAAGTGGAAGGTAGCGTGAGGTTACAAGGTAAGTGGAAGTCTTACACTCAGATTTTTTTTGGTTATTTCTCGCTTTGCATCGTTCAAGGAATGAAATATGTTTCACGTAAAAAATTCTTGTTATGTACATTTTGTGATTCGTGAACACAGATAGGGTAGATCGTGTCAGACTGCCGTGTAGTCTGGTAGACGTTTACCGACGTTTCAGAGGTCCTTGATGATGGAGCATCAAGGACCTCTAAGACTTTTAATGTAATGTGGCCTACTATCCTGGCATTCTTTTGGAAAGACAGAAATACCGCGGAAGATTCTCACACGCCAGAATCGAATATTCAATTCAGAAAGTTTTATTTTCAAAATGAAACTACCTAAGTCATGTAACTAAAAGCCACCATTTATTTTATACGCAATCTGTGTCACTTACGAAACGCGAAGATTTTTATCTTGTATTTTTTTTAGTGAAACCAAAGGAATTCAATTTAAGTCTTTCGGGATTTATAAGAATGTTCAATGAAGCAGGAAATACTGCAAACACTTTTTTTCTTCTTTTAAATTGAGTGTAAGCAATACTTCACGACAGACAAACACGCTCGGTAGACAGACTAATATATCGGCTGTCAGTCTGAGTGACAGACTGTCTTCTCTGCTTCGTTGTGCGTTTCACAGATTATCACTGAACAACACAGATAACACATCTGTTCTTATGTAAAACGACTCCTTAATGAAACAAGAAATCTATCAACAAAGTACTACGAAGCATCATGTCCGAATCATACAAATTGTTATGGGATCAGTATAAAAACATTAATTTCTTAACCTGAGGTTAATTTCCTTAAGGATAAAAGATGCTGATAATAGGACGATATACTGAGCTTTTATCTACGCCAGTACTGATTTTATAACCAAACAACGAATTTTTATAAAATTTTCTGGTAAGTATGTGACTAAGTACTTGTTCTGATAATCACGTCTTCCAAACGAATTTTTGGTATCCGAGTAATAGTGACGTCACTTATTATTAAATGTCCTCAGAAATCTCTCTTGTAATAGAACTTCGAAAAATGTGTAATATACGTTGATGTAATTTTTATGTAAAGTATAAACACAACATGATTATTGCATGAAGTTACACTGAACTTTATGTTTGTTGGCGATAACTGCCAAACCGTTTAAAGTCTACAACTTTTATATTGTCAAAATAATAAAATTTTGTTTATTTATGTATCTTTTTTTATTTTACTCTTATACACCTCTGAACAAGAGTTATAGCTTGGAACACGTGATAATTTCTTCGTATTTATCAGCAAGTAACATTCCATTACAGGAATAAATATAATTTTCACTCTGTACACTCCAAGCCATGGGCTCCGACTTATTTCTAGAATTTTAGGAGGTTCCTGAACCCCAGAGTGTCCACACAGTCGTCGCCCATGCTTTAAGGTACTGACAACGTCATGAAATAACCAGAAAATTAATATCGTATTTTTATTTTCTTAAATATTATTTATTTCCTCGGATAAATATAGTATCCGTCACGAAACTTTATGATTCAAGGCCACAGTACTTCGCGTCTCCCCTCCCAGTCATACCGCGCAGTACAGCGTTGCCAGATTTCCTACGCTGCGAACTGCGGACACCGCTTTTGCGACGTTGTACGACTCTGTGACCTTGAAGCATGCAATTTGGTGACGCCCGCCGTGGTTCTAGTTTCATGGCTGTTTATCGTCTAACTCTGTGCTCTCTTTTAGAGCTCTACCTGGCGCCAAAGACAACAACAATCCCATTTCCTGAACGACATGACAATAAATCCCGCAAGAAACCTTCGCCTCATTCTAAGGACAGTAAAAAAAAGCGAAAACGAATTAAAGGAGATCGTAGAGAAGATGAGAATGGAAGCGGTGAGGATGATGAAGAATATGAACCCGTAACGACTGGCTCGTGGCTCGAACCCCGAACTGTGCAGACAATAATGCCAAGCGCAACTCGTTCACCGGATCTGATCTTCCACCGAAACGTCGCTGACAATTCCGCCGCGGTCAGCCCATCACACTACTGCCCTAATTGCAGTATTCGTCTTCCATTGTGGGCAACCGCGGTGCTGGTAGCAATGAAAAATTTGCTGAATATTCGCCGTTTGATTATTTTTTAAGATAGAACTTGAGGAAAAAAGGATTTGCCAGAATTAAATCCGTCGTTTAATAGGCAATTGAATCCGAACTTGACAGACTCGTAACTTATCAAAAGACATGCGTTGATGTATCAAAGAGCAACGCTGTTAGTTGTTGTAGATTCATACGTAGTGAGAAAATTTTCATAAGTGTGACGTACATGACGTTTAATGACCTTGCATACAATGATATAAGGGACTCACAGACAAGGTTTTTGTGTGTGTCCTATTCTAAATACGAAAATTATTAATGAGGCTAATTGTAAATATCATATTACAGATTTTTTTTAAATTGAGCAAACTAATTAAAAATTCTGGCTAGTAATGCAACGCTACAGGAAGTTTACACGTATTTCTGAACACCTGAAAATTATATCGCTGTTGTGGGCCTCAGGACCCGTAGTTTTTTGACTACGATACTTCAGTTTTTACATAATTTTGCCACGGATATTAAAACGGAGGTCCTCTAACCTGCTTTAACTAATTTCTGGGAAGACGGAACAATAGTTTACTGACTACTACTTTAAAGAAACAGATTTGACACGAATTTGAAATCTACAGAACCTATTTTGCTAGGGGCAATTTTTTTCGCGCTGAACCTCCTTACAAGATACGTAATTTTGAAATCTTTACACACATCGGAAAATATACGCGTTTTTAAGTTCTCGTTTTAACCCAAAGTGACGAAATATACTATCATTAGCACGTGTTTTGGCCTATTTTTCATTATTATTTTATTTTAGGAAAATCAGCGTAGTTTTTATAGTCCACTGATGTCACGGTAGACTATTTCTGTCGAGTGTAATTTTGAAAATTTATTTGATTAAAATTTAATCTGAATTTTTGTAATTGTCGTCAGTTACAAACCTCCGGGTCTACTAGACGGGCAGACAGGGTTTATGATGAACATGGAATTTTAAATTTGGAGGAAGGTCATATCGAAAATGTACGGCCAGAAAGAAATGCTTATAACTTTTGTCTGAATACCAGAACAGTTCTCGAGAGTGGTACAATCGGATTTAGTGGTCACAGATAAAGTGAAAGTTTACGTTTCATTGAACTCTGCAGCGAGCTTGAAAATGTTAGTAACTTGTCACATTAATTGTTTATACGATATATATTTCAGTCTGTCCCCATTACTCTGAAAAAGTTTCAGAATGAAATATACTTTAAAAAGTTTTTTAAGCCGTATAAACAAAGTACTGAAGAGAGTTTGAACAAGTGGTTTTACGATTATTAAAACGAATTCATTTACATAAAAAGAACATAGCTCCATCTTGTATAAAACAAGTAAATATTCATTATATCGTATATATTTTTATTTAAACTCAGTCTTTATACGCTAGAAGTATCCATATTGTACAACTCTTGAGAGTGACTGTACTGGGAGACGAGACAAAGAAAGCAAATAACGATACAATAATATTACAATAATAACCCATATCGATTTTCATACCTGTAAAATAATATTATGTAATAGATAAAAATAACTCTGTCATATCTCTATGTTAGTACGAGTTTATAAAAGATGGACTTTCATCTTCTGGTTGTTTCGTCTTATAAGTTTTCTTCTTGGTTTAGTGCCATTGTTGTCATACGAATAAGGCTCGTAACTCAGATATATTTACGTTGTCTCGTAGGCAGACACCGTTTATATAAAATGTTTGTAGCGATAATATCAGTGTTTAACCTCACCGTGCTTATTTGATTATTGAGCCAAACATTTGCTGCTGACATTTTGTTAAAGTTCTTGCTTTATTAATACATTAAATGTCCGTTCATAATACGACGTAAATCAGCCGAGGTATCTTAAATGACAAATATCTAGTAGTGCAACACGAAGGTCTAACAAATTTATTGTAAAATTCATCGAGTTTTATTCACCTCTTATCTTCAAAGTCAACTCGTCTAATAAGATGTATCTTAATGTTAAAACTACCGTCTCCTTCTTGGTCTTTCAAGTTACCGCTTTTCAAAATATCTCTTCTGCTAATATTTTGTACGCTTTTCTTATGTCTCGTCCCAACTATTCTAATTTGACCACTTTAACAACTTTTTTTGTACAAATTACGAAGTTTTGCGGTAGGCCACGTCTTGCTCTGACGCAATCCCTCATTATGTATTTTCTTTAAAGTTGTTACCGTGTTTCACACCCATAAATGCGATCGGTAACATAATTGTAACTGTGCACCCAATTTTCTGGAAGAATTAAGAACAAAGAACGTGGCTGCTTCCTTTCTATTAAGACGGACACGAAGTGTTTTTTGAATATTTTATCGTCCTGTCTTTAATACTAAATTTGTATTAAAAAATATTGTAAAACCCTTAACCCATTTTATCACGAAATAACATAAAAGAGAAATTTTTAAAATATGGACACTTATTTATTTTATCGGCGAACCTCTGCACATTCGCCATTGATTCTGCTATATTTTGTGAGGTTAGGTTCGAATCAGGTGGCAGGGGTCACCAAATGCCTCAAAGCTGCAGAAATGTTACTGTACGTTCATAAAGCAACTTTGTGTTAAGACTTTCTGAGCTCTGCATGGAGACTGAGTAAATGTTCCATCCCTCTTTTTCAATCTTATACACAATTCTTTTCAGAAATCGAATTCCTTTGCATAATCTGTGAAGAAGTGTGACGGGATGTGCAGAAATCTTTTGTTGACTTTCCTGCTTTTATACTGAGAACTTCCAATATCTGCTGTCAAACGAGAAAACTTTTATCCTTTTCTCAAAGAAAAGAATCAAAGTACAATGTATTTTTTTCCCCCAGTACTGATTTCTCTTAGCGGAAAGTTGAATATTTCGGACCTGAGAATTATAAAGACGCCATTGTAACGTTTGCCTGAAAATAGAAACTCCCACTGTACAGAATGTGTGAAAAGACTACGCAGTAACATTTTATTATACGTATTTATGGAAAAGGTCTGATGTTCAATTTTTTTTCTCTTTGTCGAAAGAGATATTTATCAAATCTTTCTATTTTATTGTTTTAGGTACAGTCACTTTTCATTTTGTATGAATAATTTTAACTGCTGTCAAAGATCAACAATCCAAAATCTTGAAACGTGAGGATTATTTAAAAAAAAACAATATGAAATAATGACTCCATGTTAAATATATATCAAAACATTGTTTCAAAGCAACGAATAGACAATTATAATAAATCTGTTTCGTTGTTTATTTTACACGCGTATTAAAATCGTTTAAAGTTAAAGTCAAGAAATACTACATATATATAGGCCTATATAATCGTAATTATAATTGTGTATAAAGGTTCTTTAAAGTACGTAAACATTTAAGGTTCATATATTTTGATATATAACTACCTAGTAGGTCACTTTCTTTTATTTTATCGCTATCGACTGAATCGCATATAAGATTGGAACGTGATATTTTGTTTCGATAAAGTCAATGACAATCTTAAAATAAATATTAATTTAAGTTTAGGTGTGTTATATAATTTTATTTATACCAAAAAACGAGTGAATTTGTTGTTATGAATTAACAGTGTTATTTTCTGTGCAGTAAAATGAATATACATTTTTAATACATTTCTTTTGGTAGCAATTACATTTTTGTTAGTGTTCAAGACACGCTACGCTAAGCAAGTATGCTGTTTACGTATTCATCAATGGTGATACCATTATCAGCGACTATTCTACATCAAAATTGTCAGAAAAATTCACATATTTAATGTTGTTTAAGATATTTCAGGGTGGTGACTCTGTAAACCCAATATTATTTAAGTAGGTGATAAATTACTTACATTTATTCTGCCAAAAGATCATAAATAAATTTCCCCTTGTGCGAGTATATCTGCGAAATTGGAAGATTTTTTTTAAGTTGCGAAATATTTATTACCTAATTTCATATATTTGCATACTTAAGTCATAACATCTGAAAACAATTACTGATTACTAGCAGAATAACTGGGTTTCTATTTACGGAGGGTCGTAATTTTTTATATTTGTGTTCATCAGCCATACAAACAGCTGTACGGCCATCAAACCTCGTAACTACTTGTTTTTCTCCCGGGTTAAAGCGACAGGAGTCGATGTTGGTCATTCACCTTTACAGGAAACCTTACCTCTATTCTTCTAGGTAAGACTTGAATTCATAGGGCTTGGTCATATGAGTAAATTAACCTCATTTTTATAGTTTAATTTTCGTGTAACTTTCCGTATACGATGTATTAACTTAAATTTTAGAGCTTACTTTAAATTTTAAACATTTAAAGTAAGTTTCAACTTATATAAAATAAAAAATTCAAAGTGGTATCAGATATAAAATATTTTAATTTAATTTAATACATTACTTACAGTTTCCTCAGGGCCTGCAAATTTAGCAGTAGGCCCCTGATTAACCCACCGCTAAGAAAAAAAAGTGTTGTCTTACGTGTTGTTTTGGAAGAAATGTTAAGAGGAAAATTTTAGCTTACAACCGTGAACCCTGAACAGATACATTGACGCAAGAATAGGCAGACAGACGCAC